AGTCAAAAGGTTATAAAGGTCAAATCATATACCCTTAAAAAAAAAACAATTACTTTTTAACTCTAACGAACTTATAAATAGCCCATAAAAATCAATTAATGTAGCAAAATTAAAATTCCTTTAGTTTTTTAAATATCTGTTTGAGCTATAAGGAGGATTGTATTAATTTAATTAACCTCATTAATATTTTACGATTATTGCTTATAATTGTTATCATCATATAAATAGATTCAATAAAGAATTTCGAATTGAAATAGTCTATGAATTAATTCCTTTCAAAACGATGGGGTAACGTCGGCTTAAATTAATAGATTTTAACCCCTTGATCTAAGTTATAGGCTACATAAATATGATAGTAATTACACGTCGGGTGTGTTACACTTTCTAACCTCATAAAATATGAACGTAAAATTGTAACTTGAACTCAATAATCCCACTTAAATTCGAACGGGATATGACTGTTTCTTATGAAGGGGGATTTCCGCCTAACAGTCTTGATTAATATTAGATGTTTAGAGGATTTAAATCTTCGCCGAGAGTAATTACTTGTATTTTAGTATATACTCAAACGTAATCAAAGCTTATTTATTATGAAATAAAATCATTCATAATTTTGAAAGATTCCTTAGATTATATTAAAACACTTGAAGAGAGTAACACTCCCTGAAAATTGGAACTTAAAAATAAATAGAAGAACACACACACATATAAATACAATATATATATATATATATATATATAATATATATAAACACATTTGTATTATAAATATGTAATTAATTAGATTTTACTAAAAGTTAGAAAAAACAAGAAAACATGGTGGAAATTATAGAAAAAAAATCCGAAAATATGTTTTGGAAACTTCCTAGCTTGATATTTTAAATAAATTAAGCCTACCTTTTATAAGAGTTGATACCTTTGTAGAAGTAAATATTTGATAAATTAAAAAAAAAAAAAGAAAATGTTTACAGTTATTTATCTTAACCATAAATATGTCACTTCTAACAAGTGGGTATTTTTGTAAATCAGAGTTGCTTGCCCAACACGTCCAATACCTTTTCTTTTTCCTTGCAATTTGAGATGATTCCAAAATCATGTTGATAAAAGGAAGGGGGCGGAATTTTCAGTTCTTGTCTAGGTCGTCATATAACCTTTAAACACTTATCAATGGCCCCGACAATTATGGCGCTTTAGTTGTGAAATTTGTGAAAGTTTCGTCTGCCCAAGGACCTCCTCCAGAGGGCTTAATTCGGCTAAGTTTCTAACTTATTAGCTTCATTATAACTATCTAGGGGCTAACTTTTAATTTATTACATACTTAGTATTTTAGCAACAAGTTTTCTTATAAAAATCGCTTCTCTAGCATTTTATTTAGATTCATTATTGGCAACGAAAAAGTAACCCGCCTCTGATTATAATTTAACAGGATGAACGAGAGAGACTCACCACTTACAGTGCAGCAGATGTTAGGACAAATCCAGTGGTCTTTTCATTGGACGTACCAGCATGTTATATCATTTGTTGGTAAATGAATAAAAAATCGCCATTTTCTGGTTCATCTTGTTAGACCACTAGTTGTCATTTCATTTGAGTTAGAATCGTGTGATGTTATTTGTCAGTAAGTGAATAAAAACAATTCATACGATTGTATGATTCGGGGCTACATTTTCTTGGCCAACCATGTATTCTTTAAGTGTTAATACAATTGTCGTATTGCAATATATATATAATAAGGAAGCAAATAAAACCAAAAATCCTTGTCAAAGATAATGATCCAACATAACAGTATGTCCCAAGAGACACACTTTGCTATTCTGGAAAACGTACATTTGTAACATCCTCACAATATAAGTAGGCCAACTCCGATTTTTTAAATCCTGTTGCTATAAGTGTCCAGTTTAATTACCTAGAAATCACTTTCTAGCCTCTCGTGGGAGCAAGAGAAGACTGTCCCATATATAGGGGGTACATATTCGTTCTTAATATAGATTTATCGGAGAAGTCTCTGAAAATTTCTGTGTAAATTTAGCAATAACAATTCGCGGCATATTCCATAAGCTGATAACGTCGGTCGTCATAAAAAAAAGGATCACGAACCAATAAACATTTTTTCCCAGACCGATTTTTGGCGCACTTTAATGTTTGTAAAATTATGTCTCCTTTCGAAAAATTGTAAACAAAATCGATTGCACGGGTAAAACTAGAAGTAGATTTAAGCTAAAACCAAATTCTTATAGTAAGATACATCCCACCTACGATTTTTCTATGTTTTCAATTTGTTCCAAAAGTTCTCATGCTAAGAAAAAAAAATCAATCTCGTTTTATCCACAATCCACCCCCACCACCCGATATACTTCTACAATCTAGGCCCTTATAACGATGTCCTTCTCCTCTCACACAGTATTTCTCTTCCTGACCTCAACATTACTTAACCTCTTACATTTATCTGTCCCTACGTAGATCTGTTCACTAAACATGTTCACTTCAATGTAACAAATAATATATATATATATATATATATATATATATATATATATATATATATATATATATTATATAACTTAAAAGGCGTACTCTTGTATTGTAGCCAAATAAACAAACAATTTGTAAGTAATATAAATACAAATCACACAATGCTGGAGCAAGTTTTATTTTTAGAGGATTTCGTGTCCCATACTCACGACTCACAATGTTATAGTGATTGTTAAGGCCAGGAGAGCTATTTAAATGTTCCATAGGGATCGTATGGCCAAATTGAAGTTAAAATGTGACACATTAGAGATGTTGAGTGCCCTCTTCCGTTCATGAATTATTTAACAACCCATCTCATTAAGCCTAGCCCAGTTTGGGAAAAAAAGAAAGATCTTTGAATCATTTAGAGTGTTCTTATTTTACGGACAATATTATCAAATAATAGAACAATCCATCCATCCCAGAGACGCTGCATTCCATGTAGGACTTTGACCCGACTCGTTACTTCCTTCCACTCAGACCTAACTAATGTTTTTCTTTTCCATGATTACACGTTGAAGTTCTTTGTCCATTTTTTTGTTCCATCCCAAAAAACTGCACTACGGAACTACGGAAGCGCACTATAGCAGTGCAAGTTACACCACACCAACAATCATTGAAAGTATTTAAAAGGGCAAAAAGAAAAAAATCATGCTATTTAAATGGAGTATCAATTAGAACCATAGCGATATTAACATAATATGGATTTATTTGGAAGCATGACTGTATCGTTGAACTCCTAAAAACATGACCATTGTTAATACATAACTTTTGATGGACTTATTCAACAATAATTTAGTTACTGTTGTGAAATACCTGCTCCTCCTTTTCTATCTTTTTTTTTTTTTCTTTTGTTGTTGATGAAATTTTCTGCTCTTAGCTCATCAATAACGATATGTAAATATGGAAAAAGCTAAATAAACTTATTTAAGTAGGAACTGTACGTAAAAATTTACTTTAATGCGTGTAACTGAAACTTACATCAAAGAAAAAAAACAACAAAGATGTTATCAGTTTCTTTTATCTGTTTGAAAGAAAGATGTAAAGTATTTAACTGTCGCGCACACTTCTGAAATATTTGGAATTGACCGGGACAATGATAAATAAAGTAATCATTGTTGAAATTGTAATCGAACGTGATAAGACACTTAACAAGAGAGTGAGAGAGAGAAAGGCAGAGGGGGGGGGAGAGGAAGAGAGAGTGCTTAAGAGACAGAGAAAATGTAAGAGAGAGAGAGAGTAAAAGATATAGAGAAAGAAAGAGATAGAGAAAATTAAAGAGAAAGAAAGACACACACACACACACACAGAGAGAGAGAGAGAGAGAGATAGATAGATAGAGAGAGAGAGAGAGAGAGAGAGAGAGAGAGAGAGAGAGAGAGAGAGAGAGAGAGAGAGAGAGAGAGAGAGAGAGAGAGAGAGAGAGAGAGAGAGAGAGAGAGAGAGAGAGAGATAAAAACCAATGCTAGAGGTAAAACGCAAAAAAAAAAAAATTGAATTAAAAAGAGAACCCCCCCCCCCACCCCCCCAAAAAAACCTACTAAAAAACAAATTATAAAGTTTAAAAAATCAATTGTTTTATTAGTGTACCTCTATTGTCTATATTAGGATTAAAAAGGACATTTTATCGCTTTCTATAAAACTTGCAGAAATAAATTTTAATCTTTACTTTAAAAAATGGTGTTAATTTAAATGTTTCATTGTCTTTTAGCCAAAATGTAACGAGGAGTCTCTTATTCTTTATGAAAAAATGTTTATTTGTAATATTTAAATCACCAAACCAAGTACAATACGAAAAATCAGTAGTTGTGGATATTTTTGGAAGCATATTTATTACAATTTTAGCTAAAAATACATAATTTATTTACAGTGCGTTAAGAAAATAACGAATTAACTAGTTTTTAATTTGAGAGTTAATATTTCTTAATTTTGTCTGTTATTTTCGAAAATATTCTTTAAAATTTAACAATCACATACATTGATGGTGAGGAGGCTTATGCATCTATTGATTTGGAAACGTTTACAGAAATACCAACACATATTTCAAGTAGTATTCTGAGGTGAAGTTAAATCTTTTCACACCAAGACAGATCAACTAGTAGTGGAACATCGGTAGACGAAATAATAAACAGAGAGTATTCTTAATTTTTTAGACTGTGTATCAATATTAATTTTTGTATCCCCAGTGAGCTATTGTAAATTTAGCCTACAAAAAAAGTTTTGTGATGCGTCAGACAGAAAGGTCATGAAGTTTAGTCTGTCACTGATGAGCTGTGATGTAAATACTTTTGAGATTTTATTGATATAAAGAAATTAAATCATGAACTTCAGTGCATACGATTTATGTTATATTTGAAAAAAAATATATCTCTATTTGTTTATAGAAAACTTATGAAATATGTGTATATTGTGAGATTAAAGCATGCGACAATAATACAATTTTTTGCGGTGTAATTTTTTAATGTAGAAACATTCAGCAATGAACGTGCCTTGAACATAAATATAGATGAAAATTCTTCTCTTTCGATCTCTTTATCCTTCAATTTCTCACCTCACTCTCTGTCTCACTTCCTCTCTTCATAAAGTAATTACAATATTTAAATTTATATACAAATAATACATTTTTTACGTTAACAAACATATTATTAACATATTATTCTATTATTACCTACTGTTGTGGGAATCCATATTGTAAAACTTAGCAGGAAAGCAAATACTATCAATCAAACCTACCTTGAATTATTATTTAAAGCAAAATGCATTTGTAAAACTATATTGGTATGTATTCTCAGAATATATGTATATACAGTGGCGTAGCCATGGAGGTGCGGGCCGGGGGGGGGGGAGCAGACCACACCGGGTGCCACCATCGGAGGGGTGACAGCAAATTGAAAAACTGCATATTTAGAGAGCTCACATCGCTCGGTCTAACTGAATTTCATAAAAAGGATAGCCGATCACACGTCAATTTCCCACACGTGCAACCAAGCCAAATGATAAATTTCCTCTTCAAAAACCAGGCACATAAACATTGCAAATCCCTCTACAAATATATGAGCCAGAATGATCAATACATTGATCGTGGGCCCTTAATATGGAGAAAAAGAAGAAGGCAAATTTTAAATACAGTAAATTTCATGTAAGAATAACGTCAATTTAAAGTTGTTACATTTACATCCTGACTTCAAATTAATTTATTTTTTATTCTTGTCAGAGTTATACTGTGGGCTTTTTTAAAGAAGAAATTCAACGTGGAAGTCGGGGGGGGGGGAGGGAAGGGGAGAGAGGGTTGACACCAGGAGTTTACCGCACCGGGTGACACCAACTCTAGCTATGCAGTTGTATGTAATAGATCTATAGTACTCAAGATCAGCTCAATCAGGTCCCATTCGTTACTCCAAAGTTATGAAAGAAAGATTGTACAAATTCATAGTTATCAATCTGACAGAAATTACGAGCATGCGCCCCGGACTGTCATAAAAATAAGATAGTCATGCTTAACGCCAATATTATCAATATTTGAATGAGTTTACGATACATGATTGCTGAATGTTGGGTTTAAAAAAACCCTTAAATAGCATACTTCCTGAAATAGTTGACAATGAATACAGGAAACGTAATGTAACATCATTTCCATTTATTGGGATCAATAAAAATGTATTACCTTAAATTAGCGTCTTATAATAAAATCAAAGAAAATTTTTGAAAAACTTAACTCTGCTGATTGATTTGTAACAATAATATACTTCCTGAAATCATGTTTTTATGTCCCTGTCTCAAAATTTATATACATATAAATGTCTTTTGTATGGAGGTTAAAAGTGTGAAAAAGTATTAAATTTACAATTTGAGAAGTAATAAATATATCAGTTGGTTCCATGCTTTAAGCGTGTAAAATAATTGGTTCGTCCTCTTTTTAATGGTTGTGAAGGAAGAAAAAGCCCTAATGCAAGCCCAAAATTTAAGCCCACAATTTCATATTCCATTTTCCAAGTTAATCATCAACAAATACAGCATAAAAAAAGATTTATTCTATTTAATTTTGTTTCACATATATTTACACATTAAACTACGGTTTGATTTGTTTAAATTTATTGTATGCAAGTGTCACATAGGTTTTTATGAATTCGTCTGTATGTTACGTTGAGTTTTGGAGTTTTGCCGCCTGATTCATTTCCACTCGGTCGGTGTCATTGTTTTCGAGAGAAACATTTACAAATTTAAAAATTAAGGATAAAGAAACAATAGAATAAAATTATCCTTAAATGATTTTCACAGCTTGAAAACACCAGACGATCATTCATTTTTTGACTCCTCATTGCAAAATGGTGATTATTTATATGCCTGCTTAAAAAATATAATCATCTTTGTTTCGTGGAATCCCTTTTACTTAGGCTACTACTATTGAAAAACGAATATAGCAGCTAGTTATAAGATGTATATGTGAATTAAAAAAAAATTATTTAATATTTCATGCTTATTTAGTTCCTTTAATTAAATTATAAAGTATGCGTTAAGCCTATACAGATAGATAGGAAGATAATCACCAAAAATAAGCATTTACATCTTCCAGCTATCAAAATGCCCTTGCGAACATGGGCAGAGATTTAAACATATGTACACAGCAGAAATGAACAGAGAGTAAAGTCGTTGGCATTTGTTGTAAAGCTAAACATAAGCTGGTACATTCTGATAGATATCCTGTCCAGCCGGTACATTCTGATAGACATGCGGCACAGCTGGTACATTCTGATACACATGATCTCCGTCCTCGTACACACAGTTGTCGTCAGTGATCGTGAACTTTCCAGTTTTGGTGTAGTCCAGTTTGGCGTATTTGACTTTTCTCCTTCTTCTCTTCCGTTGGCACACCTTTTGCCTTCTCTTCTTGTTGACTGAGCCCAGAGTGACGTAAATCAAGCCGTCATCACTCAGATACCGGCCGGAATCCTGTGTGTATACATAAAAAAACAGCATTTCAGCAATTTAATTAAGTTGGTAACATTATTATATACGGGTAAGAAAATAATGGGAATTGCTTTTATTATTGTTCGTTTTAGTTTGTTACAATATATATATATATATATGTGTACGTGTGCGTGTGTATAAATGATTACCCGCTGAAGTATTTAATATATCTTAATATTTCTATATCATACATTGTGAAGAGAAATGTGTTCTTTAAATCAGGGTTGTTGGGGCGAATGGGTTAACCAACTGACTCACCATATTCATTGTTTTAATTTTTTTTTGGGGGNTATATATATATATATATATATATATATATATATATATATATATATATAAATATATATATATATATATATATATATATTACTTAGCAAGATCACTCACAGTAAAGATAAAATCTTTCTTAGCCTTAATATTTTTCTTTTTGGACATTAGCGAAGACACGTCTATAAAGAAATTTGACTTAAGATACAATAAATTTTAAAGTTAATATTGTTAACGAATATATGTAAAATACTTAAATAATTATTAATAATAACGTTTAGCTTATCAGTTTCTTCACAACTGCATTACCTCCCCGCTGTCAGCATTGTCCGACTCGATCGATCGGGTTTGAGGAGTTGGTGTCCTCACCTTAGATCTGAACTTCTGATACAGCTGGAATGGCCAGAGATAAATATATTTATAAGCTTAAAATATAAATTTTTTATAAAAAATGAACAATACATCTTATCTAAAAACACAACAAAAACAAAAAAAAACAAAACAAGAAAAAAACAAACTCATAACTCTCATATTAACTGTAACCAAAACACTTCCATTAAATTATTGCTCTTTTATGCTCTCAAATCATAGTAAGATTGCTCAAAATTCAAAATTGAATGCTCTAGCTCATTGGTTCACAAACTTTTGGTACGGGTCGCACCAGATGGTATGCGGCTGACTGCTTGTGGGGCACAAAAAACTCCCATTTATTTACGAAAACCTACATGTAAATATAAGGGCATACCCATAAACGAAAATTCTACTCAAAGGGTAAGGGAGAACAAAAGGTTGAGCACCGCTGCTTGATGACTGGCCAAGACTTACATTTGGTTGCGCTTTTTTGAAAAGTTCTGACGGTTCGTCTCCCAAATCTACTTTCTGAACAACGCTCTTTCTTTTAACTGCCTTCATCGTCTTCTTTGTGTTACAGTATACATCTAAAATTCGAGAAAGTAAATTTGATCAATTGCTCTTAGAGAAAACATATTTGAACGTTTATCGATAGAGCTGTTTACTTTATTAAATTAATTTAAAAAATAATTCTCTTAACACAATTATATTTATAATTAAGTTTTTTCGACAGAAAAAAAATTAATTAAGAATAAATCTTTAAGAAAAAGATTTTAAAAAAAGAGGGCAAAGCTTTTAGAGACGTAAGAAGGGAGGGGGTGCGCTTGGGAAAGGTCAGTCACGGAAAACTGGTTTTCTTTATTTTGAGGGACAGGATTATCGGCCATCTGCAGAGATATTCCATTGACGGAAGGGACACAAATTTTGGCCCGTCGCCGGCAGTACAAACTTTTGTCGCGCTGCTGAAACCTTTATAAAAATATAAATAAAGCTATTGACAATGTAAGGCAGAGAATTGTCTCCCCGGCTGTTCGCGCCTCTATAAAGACGCATGTGATAAATATACTGAACACAAGGTCCGAAAAATAAACTCCCTGATCAGGGCTTCGTTACACCATTAAGAAATGATGAAAACAAATAAACTTGTGCAATATGTGGTTGTTTTACATGTGTATTTGTAACTATTGTAAGTAATGACTAAAAAAATAAAAAAAAAACAAAAAATTATTATTTTTTTTTTCAATTTTTTTCTTTGTAATTTTAATTCTTTTTTTTTTTTAAAAATTTAAAGGATTAAAAAAAATNTTTTTTTTAAAACTTTAAAGGATTAAAAGAAATCATTTACGACTGCTAAATAAAGGATTTCTAAATAAGTCTTGTAATGTAAAAGCACTCTTTATACTTACATATAAAACGCAAATGTTACATTAAAAAATAATAGTGACACAAGCATAATTTAAAAATGAACAACCAATTCTTTAAAAAAAATTCAGTTGGAATAGATTGCATTACTTGCAAAAATCAATTTAAAGAAAAATTTAAAAAGAATAAAATAAATAAAAAAATTTATACCTTCATCATTGTTTGCACTTCCTTCTTGAAAAAAGCGTGCTAAATATTTAAGTATGCTACGCGGCCTTGACCTGTTACTTATAGTTAAAAAAAATATGATTAGATTTTAAAACATATTTAATTTTTTTTTTTTAAAACTATGTGCTTCAAAGTGTAAACATGTGTTTTATAAGAGAGTTAAAAAAAAAATAAATTAAAGCCTCATCAAGATGTAACTATTGAAAATTAAAAGATACAGCCATTATAATTTTAATCAAGATACTTCATAGAATAAAATTTGTGTGTATTTAAGACACATTTTCTTACCTCATTCTTCTAATTCGATCAGTATGAAATTTTCCTAAAAAGAGAATAAAAGTAATTTACATTAATTAAGATTATGGAACATTTAACTAAACACTTACATGAAGTTACTGAGTTGAAAAAGAACACTAGTTGCATTTACATTTAATATATCCATATAAAAACTAGAGGTTAATAATAAATTATTAAAAACGAAAAAAGAATACAATATGAAAGCTCGTATAGACATCAATTTATTCCTGCGTACATTTATGTGAGACTGAATACGCTACATACTTTCATGTACTACTACATAGAAACAGATACCAAAAATACATTAATGCATACATTCATACATACATACATAAATACATACATAAATACATACATATATACATACATACACACATATACACACACATACATCCATGCATACATACATACACACATACATACATACATACATACATACATACATAAATACATTCATACATACATACATACATACATACATACATACATACATACATACATACATACATACATACATACATACATACATACATACATACATACATACACACAATATACATATATACATACATACATACATACATGCATGCATACATACATAATTACAAAAATACATAAATACATACACACTCACATACACACACATCCATACATACATAAATACATAGATAGATACATACATACATAAATTCATACATACACACATGCATACATACATACTTACATACATACATACATACATACATACATACATACATACATATATACATACATACATACATACATACATACATACATACATACATGCATACATACATACATACATACATACATACATACATACATACATACATATATACACACACAAAATACATACATACATACATAAATACATGCATGCATACATACATAATTACAAAAATACATACATACTTACACAGTCACATACACACACATCCATACATACATAAATAGATAGATAGCTAGATAGATACATACATACATACATATAAACATACATACATACATACATACGTACATACATACATAGATAGATACATACATACATATTGTACATTCATACATACATACATACATACATACATACATACAATCATACATACATACATATTGTACATTCATACATACATACATACATACATAACATACATACATACATAAATACATTAATACATACATACACACATACATACATTCATACATACACACATATTCACATACATACATACATACATACATACATACATACATACATACATACATAAATACATACATACATACATACATACATACATACATACATACATATATACATACATACATACATACATACATACATACATACATACATACATACAATGTATGTATGTATGTATGTATGTATGTATGTATGTATGTATGTATGTATCATACATACATACATACATACATACATACATACATACATACATACATACATACATACATACATACATATATATATACATTGATCGTTACCCTTACCCACAGCTACCTTGAAAATATTTTTTAAATTTTTTAAATTAAATATTAATATTCTATACTACTTTTTACATTATTATAAAAATTATGTTACTTCTGTAACGATAGGCGATGAATCCTGTTACCACTGTAATGAAACACAGAATTCCAAACAGGACAAAGAAAACGGTTCTTTCCAACTCCCCGCTGTCACCTGTCACATGCGGTGGTAAAAAAAAAAAATATTTTAAAGTATACACACATCCAGCCTGATAGAAATAAACACGAAAGTATATTCATCTAAATTAAAAATTTCGTACACAAACACGTACATTCCAACACACCAACACACATACAGGTTCATTACTTATACTTTAGGGCCTTTCGGGGATTCCAAAAAATTGGAGGAATTTGAAATTGACTTGAAAATAAACATTTCTGGATTGAGCTCTATAAATATTCAGAATTTTTTTTTAAAGATTGTAAAAGGAAGTTAATTATACTAACCACCGATAGACACAAATGTAATTTTAAAGTGGACAAAAATTATTAAATCTTTATTAAAAAATGATGAGTTTTTGTTATTTCTTCTTATCTTCTTTCCGATTACTAACTAATTTTAAATCTTATATAGTGAAATATTTACATTATAAGTAAATGTCTTATATTATAGCCAATAAAGGAAACGCAAGAGAAAATAGGACATAAGTTATTCACTTTGAGGTTCGGTTAAAATCCGTAGATAGCAGACAGGGGACTAGGTATAGATAGGGCTGGGCTTGTTGAGGAAAAAGTCTTGAATAAAATATGTGAATGTGAATATTTTTAATTCACACAAATAAGATAAGAAGAGGTTATTTAAAACTAAATTAAAAAACAACAAAAAAAAAAAATTTTTTTTCTTAACGAACGCCTTTCGGGTGGGTGAAAAATTAAAAATAATAAATAATTTTTAGTGAACATGTTCATTAATTTATTCGTCTCATCAGTCGTTTGATGAATCATTACTTGAAATCGGTATATCGTTCTACAATTAACAATTTTAACATAGTATTTTATCCATTCGGAAACGATTGTTTCATTGTATTTATTATGGTTTTTATGTTTTAAAAAAGGCAATGAAGGCGAAACAAATATATTACCAGCTACAGATTTGCTGGACATGGGATCAGAGCCGTACATAGCTGATGTACTCTTATTTGATGATATTGATGAGCTTCCTGTACAACAATAGTCCAAAAATAACAAAAGTCACATTACACGTCTATATACATGTATATATAAATATATATATATTTCCAAATGTTTGTTATAAAAGTTTAGTTTAATAATATCATATTATTATGTCATATTATCATGATATATGATCATGTCATATTTTTTCATAATGTCTTGTCATAATATCATGTCATATTATCATCTTCATATATTAAAGTCTTATACCTCTCACTGATCACGAAATTAAGCAAGCCATCTGAAGTTACAATTTCGAAATGCGGATTCCTTTTGCACTGTAGAGTTGTAGCCTAGCAATAAATTATTATTTGTATCTATTTAAATCTTTGATCAAATTGCCAAAACTGACCTAAGGGCAAGAAACGGTTAGACTTCTATAATTGATTTGCTTCGTTTTTGTTTTTATAATGTATATGTTTTAACGTTTGATCTGTTTACTGAACATGTATTTGTGTCGAGATTAATTGACATACCTTGATCCTATTGTTCTTTATTTAAATTTTGAATGCTAAATGCTTCTGCATGATGTAGTATTTTTAAAGTCTATCCACACTCGTAAGACCTTCCTTTACGTAAAATAACATTTATTTGGACAATGGAAAGACAGCTCACTCTGTCTTCAAACTGTTTTTCAACTTAAAATAACATAATCTGACATATCTTTGTGCAACATTTTCAAAAAGTGTGATGCAATTCAAGTACTTCGGGGGAGTATGTTAAATATTTCGAATAACAGCACCATTGCTCACAACCAGGAATAGAAACAATTGATAGACATCTTTAGGATAACCGGATAGTAAAAAGGGCCTTATAGGTTTGATTAGTATGCTACTGGTTGGTGTGTTCAAGCAGGCACTACACGTCTTGACTCTGGAAGGCGTGCTGTAAAGGACAAATCGTTTCTTAAATCATCAAAATATAGCCTAAATTACAAATCTGATTCTTGTGAGTCAACATGAGTGCTTATGTCAAAAGGAGTCTCTAGAGGAAGATGAATTCTTACTTTTCCTTCTTCAAATAGGATATGGAAAAATTATAAAAATATTGAAGGCTATACTCTCAGGGTAACATGTGTAAAATCTCAGCAAGTCAATGGCTCGTTACGTATATCTAAATTACCCATGTCAGTAACAATAGATAATGAATTCAATGGGTACCACATATTGCAAGAATGCCAGAAAGCAGACATCACAAAAGATTAAATGTTCAGTGGAGTCTCCAGTGGGAAACGCTCAGCTAATGGGCAGAAAAAAACAACGCTTCAAGGGCTGTCTAAAAGCTTCACTAAAATCCAAGGACATTGACGTAGATTCTGGCATGGCAGATCACATTTGGAATACAGTCGTCAGAGAATATTGGCACCGCTAACGGTCAAAGAAGGCGCGGCAAGGGAAAGTAGAATAGTCTCATATCCAAATAGGACTCAAAACAAGGTGTTTCTCATGTTTGGGAAAAATTTCCGGACACAAAGAGACTGACGGGCCAATTGCTTACTCATCGTAAACTATAGTCTTAATCATCTTCACATTTGAAAGGACGAACAACTTATACACATTCTAGTGGCAATGGTGGATATTAGGTGTTTTGAACAAATAACATGAAACTCGTTGGGCCTAAAACTCAAGTCTATCAATAGCTATTATATGGCGATACATATGTTTCCAATTAGCCAAACTTTATTTTATATAATTTATGCACTTTAAATTTAAAATAAAATGGAAGTATCTGTTTTTAAAAAAAAATACTTTATCTGTTCATATAGATTTATTACACTTTTCATTTTCTCAAACAAGGTTTTTAAGCCAGGTGTTTGGGCTTTCATTTTAATATCATATAATAAATCGAACTCTAGATGAGTTACAGCTAAATGAAATTGTAACATGTCGAAATTTAATATTTTGAGATCACAAAATAATGTTACGGGAAGCTGTTAAGTGGGTTCTGGTAGTTGATGATGTTGTTTCAGATGTTGCAATGTCTTAATTTGGAGCTACAAAGAATAATGCAAAATTAAAAAAAATATATATTTGTACCAATCAAGCATTAACGCTAATTCCTAAAATTTAAATGCCTAATTTAAATCTGCTAGTAAATATTTTAAGTAAAAAGTGATTAACTAAACCACAGAAATTTATCAACGTTTATTTACATTTTATTACCATTATCCCGTTAGGTAGTTGTTTTTTAAAAGCTTGAATGTTTGCAATAGTTGTAGAAGCATCAAGAGTACATATGATGTAAAAATTGTACTAATACACATTGGCACATTTCTCTGAATGCTTTAACCTTTACAAAAATTATGCAAATCATGCTGCATGATTTATTATATAACTACTTGTAACAGTCGTTTGATATATAATTTGACGTTGGGGAAGCTGTTAAAAAGCTTTAAGTTAGTATTTATAACTAACAAAGTTTAAGAAAAATTTGAGAAGAAAAAAACATAATGATGAAAATCTCGTCAGATAAAAGTAACCAATAAAACAGTGAAATTAAACGAAATTTAAGAAGAAACTCGGCTCCATTAAATTCGTCTTAGAGTTTTGCAGTAAACAAATAATCACAACGAAATTATACCAAAAGTACGAAGGGGAGAATAAAAAGCTAAACATGACATAATTCTTGTATGTGCTACATACGTGCCTCGTATTTCATTATTGAAAGCTGAATACCTAACCTGCAACGTCTGAGGCACTGCTCCCTTGATGTCTTGCTTCCTTATTTTTCGTTATAGATTTATCGGAATTATTGGTTCGTCCTATAAGTAGAAAAATATTCTGAACTGTGATGAACTTAAAATGATGCGTCCGTTCTTATCATTAAAAATGTTTATATTGACACCATGCATTCCAGCATAAAAATTATGCAAAATCTCATACATATGTTGATACAATTTCAAAAAGCATTAATCTCCTATTCTGCCAATTTTTGGGAGTCATATAATTGCTCGCAGTTGTGTAGATTTTGTGTTTGTGAAGCAGCAAACCTGTTTGTATAGTGTCACGCCCTGCAATGCAGTTTTAAATGAAATTAACTTTCGAGACCAATACAAAAGATAAAACATTTATCGACCAACCAACCAGGAATTCTTAGCAAACTTAACACACTATATGCTCGTTAAGCCGAACAATTTTGGATTGTAAGTCATTAAGGTTATTCTACAACAAAATTTATTAAAAATTAAAAGCAAATGGGTGAAGGATTCCTCTCTCATTCTTTAAACCCGAAAGCTTATGAAATAAAGAAGGATGACAATGCGTGTGTGTGTGTGTGCGTGGGGGTAGTGTAATCGGGTTATATCAAAGTATGCTTTTGATGATAACATGGATTTACATTTAAAATACATGCAATTGTTGTCAGATAACCATCACACTATCACCTCGTTACTCCCTACCATCCCTTCACAATCAACGATTCTTTTTATAACCAGTACATCCCACCTAACAAAGTCTTATTTCACCTCAGCCATTCCGAACCTACCATTCTTCTCCCTCCAAAATCCGACCCACCCTATTACCTCTAAGGCATCCCTAACTTCTTCGTATCCATCACTGAACTCTATATTTGAAAAGTGATTGTTCCTATAGTTTAAAATTTATTGTTCATATGTGACAGTTTACACTTAATTAATTTAAGCTCCATTGCTATTTGCAAATAATCATGTTAAAGTGAAATGTATTAGTTTTTGTCCCTAATGACAAAAATATGTAATTAATTGTTCGACAAACATAATTAAAAGAAGAAATATGTCATTTAAGTTTTAATTCAAACTATAAAAATAGTTACTCACTGGATCCATTCATTTTTATCGTATAGTTGATGTAGTTATTCCTAAAGTTATAACCTGATCCGATTTTTATCACCACGTCTTCAACGTTTATTGGATTCTGCTGTCTAAATGTTATATTTAACCTGTATCGAAAGGTGTCAGATGGATGTGGATTGTATTGAAGACAAGAGTCATTATTACAGTTCTTACTCTCCAACCATCTTCCGTTATAATTCACAGCAATTATTGTGCCATTAAATGGGACTTCGACACAAAGAATGACAGATGTGAACATGCCGTTGTTGATTATGTGATTGTCGCTGTCACAATCTGAAATTATTCGCGGTGGGCCTGAAAAAAAACCATAATGATATTAATATACATCTGAAAACTACTGCAATTTTGTTTTCTTTAACCAAGTATTCATCTTCAAAATTAAATTTTTTAAATAGAATTGATTAACATTAATTTCCCTGTAAAGTTAACCTAACCTGAATCATATACGAACAAAAGGGTAAGTAATTATATTGTTCATAAAGCTAAAACTATATTCTTATTTTATATCATGAAAAAAAATTGTTTTAGCTATAAGTTCTTCGCCAAAGAGTCAATAAATTAGATTCATCCATAGCTGATTATTTCAGGAAAAACATAAGCTAGGCGCCAATTTATTTTAAGAAATGTCCGAATACATACGGCATAAGATCGAGCATTGGAAAATTTAGTATATGTACTAGTTTTACAAATGGTGTTTTTTAAAATGATTCCGTCTAGAGCTATTATTTTTTTATAACACTTAACATAAACCCTATGAACTCATTTAATACTTTTCTATATGTTAAATATAAACCATACATCTGATGCGATGCAACAATATGTAAAATCAAACTGGTATTACAATGCTTTTTAATAATAAGAACATAATTAATAATTTACTCACAATTATTAACTGAAATCCGCAACATCTTTTCTTCTTTTCGATGAGGAGATTCTGATCTATTTATAAGACACAAGTAGCTGCCCATGTCATCACATGTCATTACAGGAAAGTAGTAAGTAATTTGTTGGCTACGTTCTGTGTAGTTGAGGTAATGGGATCTATTTCTTCCATTCAGTAATGTTAAAGAATTTAGTGGATTGTTCTCCTCGCAAATTAACGTCATGTTAACTGTGTTCTTTCTCACAGCTACATATTGATTAGTTAATCCAAACCTGATCTCATCTATAGGACCTGTAGAAAAATATCATTTAACATATTTTATAAAGAAAGGAAGTAATCAATGAAATTAAATAATTTTTTTATGGAAAAAAATTTATTTATAAAAATGTAGCTTCACAAATAATCACTAGAAGATGAATCAAGATGAAGTACAGTTCATTAGTTTCACATATTTCGTAGTCATGGGAAAAACGAGTCAATTTAAACACTTTTCCTGATAAACTTTCGTCTAGTTTGTAAAAAAAATGTTATCAATAGGGTAGCATATGATTGATAGTAATTAAAGGATGGCATTCAAGCTAAGTGAATTAAAAAGTTAAGTTATGTGGAAGCCGAATTAAAAGACAGGACACTAAGATTATGAACCTTTCGGCTTAGAGCCATTTTCAGCGAACAGGACATCTATTTCATCAGCATATGCCATCCATTCGTCCACTCATTTGTGTGAATTAAACAATTTTAATATACTTTGTTTCATTTGCAAATAAAATAAATGTGGTAAAATACTATACATATTGAATTTACTTACACTCAATGATTATATCACTTGCCACATTAACTTCTGTTCTGTTCAAGTCCCCGGCAATGCATGTAAATGTTCCAGAATCGTGGCAGTTAGCATTTTTAATCTCATGTTGCAATATCAACTCTTGTGTGTTATTATATTTATTAGTTACATTATATCTGTTTGTTAATGCTAACATGACATACGCCACCGAAGTGCCAGAGGCAGAACAGTAGAAGCTAAGATTTGTATTTGGTTGTATCAGTAGAATTTGATGACTCCTTAGGTCGTATGGGATCTTTGAATCGTTTTCCTGATAAGTTACGTTCAAAGTAAATTGTACAACCCCTTGAAAATCTGAAAAGAAATAACATATACCTTATTAAATAGACAACATGTATTTTTACTATTTTTAAATATGAAACTTTTGTTGAAAAAATATTTTTAAAAAAATTGATAAGCATATTTTTAAAAAAATTAAATAAAATACTTCAAAAAGTAAATGGCAAAGATAATTGTATAGACAAATAGACATTTTCTCCTACAGAAAGGAACAATTTCATTGCATAAAATTAACATACCATGCTAAAATGGTTAAGGTGATTCCAACATTTTCTGATTGCATTTCCCAATTCATAATCTTTTTAATATAGATGATATTGAAAAGAAAAGAAGACGTCTTTTCATGGATTTTTAAAGACATATTTTCATAATCTCTTTTAATTAAGTGAAATTTATAACGTATATTATAATGAAAACTCATCAAATCTGTCAATAACAACTGAAACTAATTGAAAATTGATAATAAACATATATCTATATATGACTTACCTTCAGACTGAGATAGACATAAAACTAATACTATTTGGATCGTTGTGAGTAGAATTAGAATCATCTTATCGGTTTTAAAAAACACCCAATAAAATAACTAAACGCTGCTTGGGAATCTTGTTGCGGCTTGGATTTACCTTATTATGTTCAAACTATAAGTTTAAATTGACTCCAGAGATGTAAGGGTATCAGAACACACTTCTTAAGACATACACACTAATAAATTGTAATTTCTTACAAGAGAAAACAAGAAGTAATATACTTGTTAATTAAAATGACACTATCCCTGACAAACGTGTCTCAAATTTAATAATAAAAAAAAAACATTGTATAAACTACGAGGAAGTAAAATGAAATTTCCGTTACCTACATATCTACGCAAATGGTTAGTCATAGAGTGAGTTTTCAAGAGTTCTTTTCCGTTACTTTAAAAATTTTATAAGCAGTAAATAAGCCATGTACAAAGTCTTAAGTCAAACACTTTTATTAAAATCATGGGCGTCACTAGGGTTGGTGTCACTCGGTGCCATAAACTCATAACATCACCCCGTTCAGGACCCCCCCACCCACCTCATCGGGGGTCTTCTTCGAGTATTTTTTACTTAGATCATTGAGTATCGGTTATAGCGTTGTTTGTGTCTAAAAATGTTAAAACTCGTTAGAAAACATGGATTTTGAGCTGACAACAAACTTTAAAAATCCATCAAACTAAGTTTGTTATTTATACAATTAAACTCAAAGGGATAAACACATTTTTTAATGATCTTTAAGGAAGCAAATATGACAACATTTCTTCTAAAATCACAATTCTTCATGACGCCATTTTCAGTTTATGAAATGGCAAGACCAGAAAGCATGGACAGATTCTTTAGTAATTCTGAAAAAGTTTCAATTTCTGTTCAGTGAGGTTGGCGTCAAACAATAGCACCCCTGACATTGTCTTTTTGGACGTTATTCTTCTTTCTAAATCATTTTTTAATTATTGCTAACTTTTCAAAGCACATGTTCATTTGCATGCTCCATTGTTTGACCATGCTTTCCCTGCAGATTTTTTTTATCGCTTCTTACTTTGTCCCCATTTTGTCTTGAGGTAAGCCCTTAATTTGTCTAGTTTGATATAATTCTTCAAGTATATTAGCGCAAAAGGAAATGTAGCAGAGAAACATGTATATAAAGACATCAGGCCAAATGCTTTCATGACAGTCACATATAGCTACAATGGCCACCACCTATTCATCGAACCTGTTTTTAGTTGGTTTAATTAATGTAGGATGATAAGAATGTTAACGTTTTTTAGATAATTTTTTTTTCGACTGATATTTTTATGTGTTCAGTTAAAACATATTAATGAGTTAAAGCAGAAAAGGAAAATGTGCTCTTACGAGTACAGAAAAATGTCACACGTAATACATTTTTAGCAAAAGAGTTTTAACAACACAAATTAAGAAAATAATCCATACATTTATATTTTTTTTCAAATGGATTCTCTTTTTTTTTTTTTTCAATATTTTTCGTACAACTTCATTATTTCAAGGGGTTGTTGAAGAATTATCGTTCCCTGGGTACGTCTCTACGTCCATCAATTTCAAGATTATTTTTTTAAGAATGCCATAAGATATTCATATTTAAAGAGATGAATCTTAGAGAATACTTCCCCAACGTGAAATTTACTATCGTTGATTTTAAAATATCTGATCACCTGAGACATCTGGTAAGTTTGCAATATATCAGGGTGGATGTCCAAAATGTTAAATAAATATCTTTCTTACATTATATCAATTCAAGTCATAAATAGATGTTTATGATATTACATACGTTCAGAACAAGAATAGTCTTAAAAACACACATTGCGACGAAACATTCAAGATACTTAAATGATTCATTTTTTCAATGTGTTTAATAAACATTTCTTTTTTTTTTTGCTTCGTTGCTGGAAAAATTTAAAAAGAATTATTGGAAGAATTATTTTAAAAAAAAACAACAAACAAACAAACAAAAAAATAAACACAAACACATTAATCTTTTCATCATTAGATTTCGTGCTAAGCATAACTCAGTATGGAAGTTTTAAATATTTACATTGCTTGCTACTGACCAAGGATCCCGACGGACATACGTATTAATTTTAACGCCAAATCCAGATGGTTCATCTCTTTAGAATTATTATATTGATTACTGAAGGGATCACAGCTTTAGTTTGAAACAATATTTCAATACTTATCGCAAATTAGAATTAATATAATTATAGCAACAACAACAACAACAAAAAAAAAAAAAAAAAAAAAAAAAAAAAAAAAAAAAAAAAAAAAAAAAAAAAAAAAAAAAAAAAAAAAAAAAGAGCTAACGAATGTTTCAGAGATTACACTTGATAGTCTTTTTGACCATGTTTGGGCATGTATCGGAACCAAATCACACTTTTAAGATTGACAGAAACAAAAACTAAATATACAGTTTTTTTGGTATACATCTTTGATAAAGTATAATATCAAGCAGTGGGGGTGGGGGCTTAACATTTGACATGACCTGCATACAAATAACTCACTATTTAAGAATCCCAATTGGTACTCAACCCCCGCCTCCAGGCTATCATCTCAACCGCATTTTTTTTCCACGTCCCTCAACTTTATTAATATTCTAATGACCCAACCATTTTTACACCACAGGTTTATTACACAATTTTTCGGAAAAAAAAATCTTACTCACGAAATGCACTTGAGATTTTTTTTAAGGATATCATTTTGCGCAGGTATTGAATTATGTATTTTATCTTTCCCTAGAATAACAGGAAAACAGATTTTTTGGGGGGTCGGTGTTGGGAATTCGTGTCGAAATTTTGATAGAATGTTTGATGATTGATAGGCTGCTTCGTGCCAGCTCGATAGCTTGATGTTAAGTGGGTCAATTATCCGTGCGAAGATTTTGACACCCACCCAGCAAGGCAGTCAACCACCAACGAACAAAAGCGAAGTGAATATAAATGTTTTATTTATCATCACTAACATGTAAGGCCTAGCGTTACAAATAATACTTGAACTTTTCTTTATGTTTCAAAGTGTCAAAGAGGCCCTTATACATGATCAACCGAAAGTCTTGAATCACATCACATCAAAGAATCAATGTACTCTACACGTTCAGATTCCTTACAACTCGTCATATAATCTTTTAACAATTCCTTTACAGTGAGTCGATTTATATAGAGCCTATGTTTTCAATGACTGCCACATGACATAATCAATCTTTTCAACACACAGGGAGTTAACTGAAATGGGGCAGATTTTTAACGTCTACATTTTATGTGGGAAAAATAAAAACGAACAAAATATAGGTTTTTACACCCTTAAGCATTACGTTTATTGATCATTGATGATAAACAAAGCAAAGATCATGAAAATAATGTGAACACTCCAAGAACACACCTTGGCATGGAAATGAACTGGAAAAGTTCGGGGCCTTCAATTAGTTGGATGATACTTATAACATACATGGTGTTTCTGAAGCAGATGTTAGGGCTTTAATTGAAAAGGGATGCGTAATCATTAGTTCTTTTAAAGAAATGATTGTACCTAAAGGAGCCGACTCTGTAATTTTAAAAATGTGATTTTCAAAATAGAGATTTCTACTATAGTTTGCTTAAATCTAGAGAGGAACTACTTTCACATAGAAAGATCCAATACTGACAGATACTTGCTTGAGGAAAGTGCCTAACCTAAAAATTGTCAGACGAAGCAACAAAAAAGACCTTCTTTAGAGGACAAACCAATATTCTTTTTTCTGGAGACTTCACAAGGTAAACTTCAGACAAGACAATTGCGAAGATGATTATGCCTCTCTGGAAGATTGCACACACAGAATAATCTATTGATGAAAATTTCCCAACATAAAAAATCTTGCACACTAATACTCCTAACACTTGAGTGTGTTTATTTATATGTCTGTTAGTGTTAGCCATTGCAAGCGCATCGTGGGTGTAAATTATATTTGAGGACCAGACTTCAAATTGAACACACATTTTACGTATTAAAAATCACTTGAATTAGCCATAGATGGAATTAGAAAAAAATGTGATTAAAAAAATTTGGCTTGTCCTCTTAGTGCTAAAATTTGATAAGACAAACCAGGATTTTTTAAAAATGTAATGAAATTTAGCACGTGATCTTACTAACTACAATCGTTTTTTTTTTTTAAACTTAAAATGAGGTCAACATCTTGTCAAATTATATTATGTATTATACTGTTATTTAGTCCAGCGATGATATTCTTGAGCTACTATTTGTTTCGTTTGTTCGTCAATGATTTTTACGAAATTAAAAAAATACATTTTTGCCTATTATCCGACTCGTATAATTTTCTTTTTAATATTTGTTTTAAAAATAACTCCCTAAACGAGTTACATAGATCTACATTGTTTGTTATTGACTCATACAAGCTTTATTGGCGGCAGTTTATGTTTGAAAGAAAATTGAAGATTAAGTCATGCACGGTTTATTATTAAAATAATCTAACAAGATTATTATAGAAAAAATGAATTTATTAATTGTGAAACTAACCATATTTTGAAGAATGGCCCTAAGGTAAATGGTTATCGAAAAAAATAAGAATTCATTTTATATAAAAAATTCAATTGAAAATTTATATTATTTTATTATCATCTAAATCCAATGTAATCATCGGAAAAACTGTAGCAAGGGTCATGAAGTCCATTAAATAAATTATTGTGTTTAATAATCGTATGGATCATGCTGTGCATTTAGACGTAGCACGCAAGCTTAATTAATAAAACACCCAAGGCATCTACGTAGAGCATGCAGATCCCATTTAACAGACAGATATTTTAGCGTAACATCTTCTTCTTCTATATCTTAAGGGCCCACGATCAATTTATTGATCATTTTGGCTCCTATGCATGTAGATGGGATTTGCAATGTTTCTGTTACTTTTAGTGCAAGTATCCTGGCCATGGTTGTGAGTTATCAAAACAATTTTACTAGACGGTCTATTGCATTTTTTCCTATCCATAAATGATTTAAAGTGACAACCATGTTAAAACGCAATGATGGATTTTTGAGGTGGTGGGGAAATAACTAGTATTACACCTAGTGAACTCGTGACACCCACTTAAGCGATACACTCCTCAGGGAAAATATTATCTCGACATAGGTCCGCTTACAATCACGACATTGACAACAATTCAATCTTTTGTTTAGTCTCATTCCATGTGTTGATCATTGTTGGAATTTTAACCGCTGGGTTATACAATGTGTGCCCCGCTAACTTTTAAGTATGTGACGTAGCTATAAT